AAAGGAATGCTTTCTCTCTTTCTCATGAGTCTATTGATACCACAAGAAAGTAAGAATGTTAAAGTATTATTATAGAAAATTATTTTCTTCATGGAATAGGGGCTTTATTTTGTAGTGCGTGTGAAATCGAGCCCGTTTTTCGCAAAGCCTTTCGGTTTATTGCGCAAAGAGCACTGTGCGAATGAACACATTAGATCATATCGTGGCGCATAAAAAAAGTATCAATCGAGAAAGAGCCCAAGTCGACTTGAGACCTTATTTTATGTCGTTCTTCAATGAGTCAGGTAAAAGAGAGTCACCATCGCGGTGGAAACGAAATTTTCTTGTATGAGCCACCGAAAAATCCTTCGTATGTATGCCTTCACTCTCATTACTTTTCATTGAGCCAGAGTCTCGACACGCAGGGCCGACTTCTTTCATCTTCGCTGTGCCCTCCTTCTTCTACTTGATTTTCTTTTATCAGCGCTGCTCCTGACACATTCGTTTTTCGCGTTCGCGCGTCGCTTTAATGCCCGTGACAAAAAGAGCGATAACGACAAAGAGAGTTGGCTGAAGAGACTGGCACACGTGTGTCTACTGCGTGGCAAATGAGATGGAAAAACAGTACGATAAACGCGGTTCTTAGCATTCAGAGAAACACTCATTACCGAGCCATTATTCGGCTACGTGTCCACTAGATTTTTTCAAAACTTTATACGCAACACAACTATTTCAAGTAGAAATAAAAAATGACTCGATAAAAGTGCAACAAACAGAGAATGTAATAAAGATTATTGGATGAAGCAGCAAGCGATAAGTGACAAGCGACAACGAAAAGTAGTCTTCTAGCTCTGTTCTCTAGAAGCTTCCTGATAAAAATAAAGCAGCCGTACGGAGTATAACGGGAAGGCAACGATGCGACGAATAGCGGAAGGGAAAAGTGTAAGCAAGCAGGGCAAAAAAGAGATCAGTCTTGTTCTTAGCCGACGACAGCACTTAGCAAATGATTTTTAAATTAAATCAGTTTTGCCGGCGAGCGAGACTACTGTCACCGAAACTTGTGCATTGTTAGTTGAGTAAAAGTCACGTTGACTGATGCAAATATAGAAATAGTCCGATCAAGCTGTCCTTCATTGATTGTCAAGCACATTTCGTTTTTCGTTCTTTTCTCCTTCCCTAATACGATTTATCTGTTATTTTTCTCCTACCCTTCAGCTTTCACCACATTTTAACTCTCTGTACGCTGCAACTATATATAAAGCTTTGGCTTTCGAGAAAATTATAAATATCAAATAATCAAATAACTTTAATCAAAATTAAACCGATCAATTCAATCAAGTACTTGTCGTTCGATAATTATGTAATTTGATTGTCTTAGCAATGGCGTTTATTATTTCGAAATGCACCGATCTAAATTATATTTATTTATAGCGAGATCAATCGATCGTAGTGATATATAAAAATCGTAATAATTAGCACGAAACCAAATATAAAATAATCGAACTGATTATTTATTAATGATAAATTACAAAATTATAGAAAGCCCTTGGCCATTGGTATTAAAAAGACTTGAATTTTGAAGGCAATCCTTTTGGTTAATAATTGTTTCTCTTGCAATACGAATAGAAGGATTGCCCTTGCCACATGGAAATCCTCTTGTTACGAAAAGACCGACGGTAAGAGGATTTCTTCTGAGCGCTTGTGGGACTGCCGTCGTTTGTTTGTATTAAAATGTTTGTGCGTATGAAAAATAAACCGACAGTCGAGAGTGCCAAAGACTTTCTCAGTCGAGCATTGCTGAAAGTTTGCAGCAAGTAGAATGCGCAGTTAAGAACAGTTGTACAGCGATGCATGAATCTGCAGTGAGTGCGGCTACCAAACAAAACCGTATTTCACGCAGCAGCCATAGAGTGGTGAGGAACGGTTGAGAGATGGGCGACAAAGGAGGCAAAGGGACCGTTCATCAAAACATTGAGTCTCGGCAGCAAGTTTTAGCGAAAAGTTTGGCCTTTTAAGGCAGAGACTCGCGGAGAGATCGGCAGCCGTATAAAATCGAGGGTACGAAGGTAAACAATTCTCTGGCGAGCGGGGTAAGGCCACTCGCGACGCTGGCGACGAATGAGATCGCGCGAGTGCACTTTTGCGTGCGAGTGCAGGGAGCCGCGAGGCGCCGCTTTTCATCGTTGCCCCGCGCGAGCAAATCCACGCGGCCGAAGTTCGCCTTGAATAGAACTGCCGTTCCGCGGTCTAGCGCGCGCTTCTACACGTCCGCGCCGCTGCTCGCGGGACTACCTACGTGCGCGCCTTGTTCGCCCGAGCGACTCGCTTTCTACAGTTTCCGGCCACGACGCGCAGATAGTCGCCCTCCTGCGGCAATCGTTGCGTTCGATCGCTGGAGCTTTCGTCAAGCTTTCGATGATCGACGAGGCGATCCCGCGACCAGCGGTTATCGCTGCGGCACCGCGCTGGCTTACTGACTGAGACGCTACCCGCGCGACACCGCTATCAAAATAAGCCGCAGCGGAGGAGCAGAGCAGAAGGGAGCTTACGCGGACAAGTGGGCGAGGAACTTTGCGTGGAGCGAGAAACAAAGACGAAAGTGCTTTTAGCGCGTGGCCCGCTTGTGGCCAATTACCAGGAGGACTCGACAGCTTGCGGACAAAGTGGTCGTAATACGTTTAGCCGGGACGCGCGCAGTTGGGCAACTTGCCGCAGCCGCGCGCCACGCCGCCGTGACCAACGGCAAGCGTGTGTGCCGTGCGCGTACGTGTCTTGCGCGGCGCGCTAGCTTCCCCTCCAGTGAGCGATCGCTTCTACGCGGACCCGGCTGGCTCTAGCTGCCAATGCGCCTCGCCAGTGGCACTCGGTGCGCGATGCTTACGCAACTTGGCGCCGATGCCGTTATTTTGCCTCTCCGCGCGAAACCTTCGATCAGTCGCGCGTAGGCCGGCCCGTTGCACAGCTCGCACAGCGCGTCAGCCGAAAAGCTGCCCTCGCCTCTGTCTCTCGTTCATTCTCTTCTCGAGCATCCACGATCGATGATGGGCCCATCCAACTGCCCGCCGCGAAGGCATTGAAATGGAATGTGCATTGGCCGGACTTGCGCCCAAGAGCTGTGGAGCAGTGGCGGCCAAAGCGGCCCGTGTTCGCGCAAACTTTAGCTGCAGGCCGCGTGTAACTTGTGCGTAATGCCCGCTAGATAAGAGCAGCGAGCAGCGCCGATTTGCAGCAAGTAATAGCTTGATTCGACTGGAGAAACGGTGAGGCGCTGTCGCGGGCGTCGTTTGGGCTCGATGGCTCGAATAAAGGAAGCGCGCAGCGAGAAAACTCGAGCAACTCGAATGGAGGGGAAAAGATTAAAAGGTCTACTGGCAAGTGCGCCGGCATAAACAAGGCGCTGCGAGATAGCGAGACGCAATGAAAACGAGCTTCGGAGCGAATGCGAGAAATTGTAAGATCGAGCTGCGGATCGTTTCGGGACGCTCTCGCGATCGAGCGATATCTCGCCAGAGCCAACGAAAACGAGAAAGAGAGCGAGAGAGACAGATAAGGGCAGCAGTGCGGCGTCGTCGCTGGGGTTAAAGCAGACTGGCCGGCGGCGGCGTTGCTCCGCGAGCTCCCGTAGTAGTAAACAAAGCTGTAACTCTCCTCGTGCAGCCAACGCTCGAGGATAAAGCGACAAAGAATCAATGCGCCACTAGACGACCAACTCTCGTCTCTCTTTTCTCTCCTCCCCTGTCCTTTCGCCCAACTGCATCCATCTTTGTTTGCTCGCGATCGACATGCTCGTGATGCATCCCTATTCTTTCGCTCTTCACTGGATCCCTTATATCGCACGCTCTCATCCTCGTCGAAATCTATTAGTCTGACGTACGACATACCGCTCGAATAAATTCTCGAGGTATAACCATTGTTCGAATGTTTCGAAAAGCAGCCTGCTACACTTGCCCATGAATTTTAATAAAAAAGAAATGAAACGCGTATTCGCATATGATTATCTATTCGTATCCAGTGAGCTCGATCTATTTATCAATTCGAGGGGTAGCGCTGCCTCAAGTTTTTATCATTTGATAGCGCACTTTATGACACGCTCGCCACACCAGAAAACATAAATATTTCATGACTCTGCGTGAATTGCGCCTCGGTGGGATGATCGCGCAAAAGTTTTTCGGAGCCAAACTGTTTGCACCGCAGTGGAAGCGGATAAGATACAAGAGATAAAGCCCAGATCTTTAGAAAGAGTTGTGCAGTGGCGCGAAAAAACTCGAGCGTCTCGCTGCTAGCTCGAATTTTCAACACCGTGTAAACGCATAAAATTGATAAGGAAACTTACAAAGTCTATCGATTGCGAGTTGAGCATTGATTGCGACCGTAATAGGAGTGCGTTAGGATTAGGGAGGCCGTTTTACTAGCTAATTGTTTACGGTTTAGGCGAGTGTCAGTCGCCAAGCGATTGGAGAGAAAAGGCAAGCAAAACAAACGTTCGCCTGTTATTGAAGAGCGATGAGAGCGAGAGCGAGCCATCGGAAATAAAAGACTAATCCCTTAAGAAGATAGCTTTCGTTACAAAAGGATTCTATTTGCTTTCAAAGTCTCTTTTCTTGCTCTCTCTCTCTCTCTCGAGTGGCGTTACGGGCAAAGGCATATCGCCGGATCATTTCTTCGACTGCTCGCGCCCCGTGTTCTCCCCCCCCCCCCTCCCTCTATCCGCCGCCCTTTCCTCGCTCTCCTCTCCGTGTCGGGGAATTCTCCACGGGGGCGAGGTCTCTTGGCGCGATTGCACTTTTCACGTAACGAATTTTCGACCAGTTCGCGCCTTCTCACATCCTTTCCACTGGTGCTTGCCACTCGTCCTCTGCGCTCAGTTTCTCCATCGCTTATTCGCCGCCGAGAGCATCGATATTCTTCTCGCGAGCTTTCTTTCACTTACGCCGTCCTCTTTCAATACGTTACACCATATACGGCTTAGCTTCCTCACATGTATGAACACTTGTTAAGTGCGTTACTCCGTCACGTTGCAGGTAGCGTGGATGCTGTTTGATCAGAGTGCCATTTTGACGGTTCAAAATCACGTGATCACGAGGAATCACCGAATATCCGTGTCGCACGACAAACATCACACTTGGTACCTACATATCACTGATGTCCAGGAGGAGGACAAAGGCCGATACATGTGCCAGATCAACACTGCTACTGCCAAAACGCAATACGGCTACCTGGACGTCGTCGGTAAGGATAAATTATTTGGCTGCTTATTTACAGCAAAAGGTTGCTAGGGTCCTGCATCGCGTCGCGACTCGGAGTCCGAGCAGAGTTTCGGCCAAGTCGCTTCTCGCGACAATAATTTAATTAGAGATCCGCGGCTATATAGACATTAATATCTCGAGTTGTGACGTGGCAGCCGCGAGGCACTGCGCGTACGCAGGGAGGAAAGAAGGACGGCGGGGCGAGAGGGCGAGAGGGGCGGAGCGCGCCGCGGCGATGAGTAATCAGCGACCCTAGATTAATTGTTTCCGCGGCGCGGGCAGCGGAGGGATAGCGAGCCGCGGTTTGTTTGCACGGCACACTTCAGCCGACAGACACTGGACATAATAGCACGCTAAGTCATAACTCAGTGTCGCGGCGCTCGCGTCTGCCTGCCAAGTATATTGCTACGAGGACCACTCGGAAATCCACTAGATTTTTCCGCCGTCGGCGCAGCCCCTAAATAAAGCGAGAGCGCTGCACGCGCCGGATCGGACTTTTATTCGATTTGGCTGCCAGGGGCCGTCCGACCGGCCGGCCAGCGACCAACTCGCTTGGAAGTCGAGGGAGAGAGAACGTACACTCGATCACATAATGCCTGCTCCGCGGGCCCGAGTTTCCGAGCCACGAGTGGCTCTGCGGTCTCGTGCGCCGCGGACAAGCTTTGAACAAGAGCAGATCGACTGCTGTTTACCCAGACCAGTCACTCTTCCAGTGGCAGCTACAGCTCTTGTCCACCGGCTAAGCGCTTCGTTGCGGCTGCAGGGCCGCGCAAACTTTCAAAACGCGCAGTTTGCGATCCCCCACCGATTGGCCGCCTATACCAAGGGACCTGAAAAAGTATTTGCCCCCGTCGCAGGAGATGAGTCGGGCAACATTTACCGCAAACGAAATCAAGCGGCCGAGGACAAAGGCGAGCCACTCGGATTCTCCGCGGGTAAACACGCGGCTCCAGCTCAGGCGGCTGCGGCAGCGGCAATTTTCTCCAACCTTTGTCATCGGTAAAACGACGACAACTGCCCGCCAACGATTACTCCAAATTTAGCCGGAGATTGGCCGCTCGCGAGCTCTTCCTTTTATTTCCAAGCTCCGCGACGTGTATTGCTTCTTTCGGCGAGACATACACGCACACGCGCGCGCGCTTGCGCGTGCTCCAGATTAAAACGACATTACGATCGATCGACCCGCACACTCTCGTCCGACCAATCTCGATTCGTTCTACTTGACCGCGTGTGAATATTGCGCGCTCCTCTGCAACTGGCATCCAAAAGCCTTCATTAAACGTGTCTTCGAACTAGACGACCGGCGACTTGCTATGGTACTTACTTTTTTTTCGAGACACTTGACATTGTCGATGCGTCAAGTGGCGCAGTGAATCGAGCCGCCACGAGTTGGTGGAGCTTAGCTCGCTCGGGCAAAATTAAAGCGCACAAAGAGATAGATAGGATTTTCGTGTATCTGCCGGGAGTGAGTTTGTCCCTAGTTTCGAGGCGAATTATTGGCAGAAGGAAAGATGGAGGACTGGCAGGGCAAGGCAGACCAGGGCCGGGCGCGTAGTAAAGTGTACGGCGCAGATGTTCCATTAAGAATTCTGAATACGCATGTCAGTGAAAGGCGCCTCCTTAATAAACTTTTTCAAGCTCTCTCGACGACAGTTTGAAAGCAAAGCGAAAGCCGACTGGAAAGAAGATAGAATCTCGTCAGCACATCGTCGTGGCGTAACCACTGACGCGGCGATGCGCGGCGCGCACATCCGTTTCGTAAGACCCGATGAACTGTCAGCCGCAAGGATCGCACTGCAAACACTGTTTCTAAAATAAGCGCAGACGAGCAGCCTGTCAGCGCCACTCAACCAACTCTTTTCCCTCCGCCCGTCGCCCTTCTTCGACTCGCTCGCCTCGCCGTCAGTATAAGTACGTCGGGAAAATAGAACGAAAAAAACAAAGTCAGTGCACAGATAATGCCCCTCCTACTTTCCTCTGCTTTGCCACGCGAGACTCTATATTCTTAGCTTGCCTATATCTCTGCTCCTCTTCTATCGACATCTTTCAACCTTGCTCATCCATCTTGCTCGTGCCTCTGCCTATACGCACTCTCCATTTCACTAGCCTATTCGCGAATACTGAAAAAATTGCTCGACTCCTCTACAAGCGAGTTGTCCCTTTGATATAGCTGTGAAATGATGTCCTGAAGCGACAGCTAACATTTTTACGGGAAGCGGAATCTTTTTGCTGCTGGTGCAAGTTACTCTGCTTATAGGACCGTTCGCAAATGGAATTTCTCTACAAGGATGCTTTTTTATATTCATGTATATTTTCATCTTGGCGTTTAGACTGGCATCTGATATTTACCTAATGGAATTGAGGCAATGCACCATCTTGAAACAAATAAATGGGATTTGCAGTGAAAGAGTTCTACGACGAGGATTAGTTATAGTAAAGACATTCGTCGTAGCTAGCGTTGGCAAAAGAGCTGGCAGGAAGGGCAAGTGGGGCTAAGGTTGCGCGCATCTAGGCTGATGAGTTTGTAGTGAAAGCAAAGGTCTTGTGGGGCGCGATTGCTTGTCGAAAGTGAAGTCTTATTGGGCGGCGGGTGTGCACGTCAGAACATCTTTGACGCAGGCATGCATAGAGGCAGGATGGCAGTTTGGAGCGAGAGAGCGAGAGAGCGAGAGCGAGAGCGAGGCGCGCGTCGGAGTTTAGGGCAAGTTAACGCGCGACACGGCGTAGCACAACAGGCGGCGTTCCGCTTGAATAATGCATTAACAGTCCGTGCGGATGCAGTATAACACGCGCTGCCAGCCACGAACAGAGACACAGAGAGTGAGTCAGTTGCCACAAAGCTAGCAGAGCCGACCGTTCAATCTGCGCTTGCTCAACAATTCGGCAACACCCTCGCATTTGCATTAATGTCGGATATCGGCCGACACCTGTGGTCATTCATACCGCCTCCCATTTTCTCCGTCATTCCGTCCCCCTTCTATTCTCGCCTTCTATTCTCAGTCCACCCCCTCCGCGTTTTTCCCTCGCTCTCTGCCCAGATGAAAGGAAAGAACTCCTGTCGCGTATTCATTTTGCAGCTTTCCAGCAACTCGCTCTACCCAAGGGTTTTTGAGCAAGCAATAGCCGGAATTGAATGATACTTGGCAGAGGATGCACTCAGAGGGATCCGGTGCAAAGAAAAGAAAGCTCGCGAAAACAAACGGCAGTGGAATTAATCTTGACTTATTAGTCGACGACTGGCAGGCAGGCAGACAGGCAGACAGGCAGGCAGGCAGGCAGGCAGGCAGGCAGGCAGTCGGGCAAGCAAGCCGGGAATCTGGGAGCGTAAGCCGCTTTCGCGCTCTCTTTCCCGCGGCTCGGGCAATATGACAGATGCCGCGCTAGCGAGACTTGTCGGCGCTGCGCAGCGAAGGCAAGGCACGGTAATATGGCTGCTCACTAGCAGCGAGTCGCGCTCGCGCGATATTAGCGAGTGACGTTGGTTTGCGCTGGCAAAGGCGACGCGCATTATATGCTCGCGCGCGCGATAACTCAGCCGATGTTTGCGCGCCGAAATGAGCAATTTCTTCTTCTTTGCGGCTGCGCCTTCTGTGTGCAAATTGCAGCTACGCCTCGCTCGCTACCTCGCCCCTCGCGCAAACCTCCCTGCGCCCAGCCTTTATTTCAGCTCTTATTATCGCATTCCTTCCCCTTCAACTGGCTTCTTTCGACTCGATGCGTCTGAACGTTTTTCTTTTCACGATCCTTCAACGAGCGACTCGTGCCAACAAGATCGTCGACATATCGATGCCAGCTGATTGAGCTGAACATTAATTACACCGATCAGGTTTCTAAAGAAAAATATCGAGTCCACCTAAAAATACGTAAAAATACACCTCGCAGTTATAATATATGGTTGCGGCTTGCTGCCAGAGGCGCGAGATCTCACCACTCAAATTACAGTTTTCGACGAGACATCTCTTCAGACTGCTGCGCGCAATGTCCTCGAATAATTGTTTTCATCTCTTCTCTTCTTTTTTTATTCTTTTCACCGGCATATTAGCGGAGCAGCGCTACGTCGGACACCTGTCACTCGCCTAACTGATTTTCCCTAATACCCTCGCTCGCGGAACCCTGTCGTCTGGTCTTTCATTTGCCTGACAAGCTTCCTAATACCGAGACTTTTATATACGGCCAGAGAGTTGCATTAACTGACGCGCGCGCGACATTATCGATTTCAATTAACAGTGTATTGACGCATCGCTGATTTACTGTACCCTACTAACTCTCTCTCTCCCTCTCCCTCTCCCTCTCCCTCTCCCTCTTCCTCTCCCTCTCTTCTCATCAATTTGGCTGAGACATTAACGCGCTCGGCTATTGTCACTGAATAACGAGATATTTTCGAAATACATGTGACGTGTTCGTAATCAACGTGATTGCCGTTGATGACTGGCCAACGAAAGACATCCCGTTTGCTATCGATCACGCGACTAAAATCTCGCCTGCTGGCAAACAACCAGACTCGCTAAACTATTACTATCCGACACAACCACATTATAAACCAAATTGTTATTTTAAATGATAGTCCATTTACCTCTCGAACGTTATATTATTCATCAACTGCTTTCGACCCGTTCATTAATCACGCTCATACCTCTTCTATACCCATTAATGTCTGCTGTTAATTAATCATTTCCTACCAGTACAACCATTTTTTTATCAGAAAATAATGCAAAAAAGAAATTAGGAGTTATCGTGGATAAACATTTTCGACGGATTCAATTAACTTTTTTTTATATGTACCACAAGATTATGTTACGGAACGCCATTTAAGGGAAATTTAAAAAAATTGGTACTATTTATAAATTGAAAAGCTCACGAAAATGCCTTTGCGCGACCCATGGGAAGGGGCAGCTCGTGGAAAAGTAAGAAATTCGACAACGCGCTTTTTCTTTTGTGCAGCAGGGGTGGAACGAGAAGGATCCCGCAGCAGGCGCCGAGTCATTTACGATTTATTTGACGCGCCTAACGAAATTTAAATCAGCCTGTTTATTGCCATGGCAACGTCGATGTTCGCAGCAGCGTCTGCTCGTCATAGCCGTGCTGGCCATTTCGAAGGCTAGACATGGAACCAAACGTTTTACTCTCTCATTCGGGTCAATTAATAAGATCTGATACAAACACAAGATGGAATAACAATCTTTGCAAAATTAAATTTTAAATAGATTTTATTTTACATGAGCTATATATACTATATTATTTATATTGACGTTCATTAGCTGATATTTAATCTCCTTTTAGCCGCATTGATTTTCAACAATAAAGTCTATCACTGGATAATAATTAAGTAACAGATAATCAATAAAACGGTTTGTCGGGCTTCATACGATAGCCACGATGGACTAGTTAAAAATAAACAATTATGTGCATCGGAAAACCGATTCTTTCACAATCCAAAAATAGTTCGAATAGCTAATCAGTTGTTTCTATATCAATGTGATTTCAGTGCCACCTAACATTGACGATGCGCAAAGCTCGTCGGACACAATAGTGCGGGAGGGTGCTAATGTGACGCTCACGTGCAAAGCAACTGGTAGTCCACCGCCAAACATACGTTGGAAAAGGGACGATAACAAAAAGATTACCATCAACAAAACGCTGTCCGGTGAGTAGATTTTTACGTCTAACTTCTACTATCTCACTACGGCTTTGTATTCTCTGGTAGGAAATCCACCAATTTTTCACGAATTCAAGGAGATAAAAGTGACGTGATTCAAGTAACTCAGCCATTGCACTTAATTTGTAGACATTTTCAAAATTTCTCTCACTTATATTATTTTGACTATTTACCATATTCTAGACAATAATTTCATAAAATATAAGCGGTACCTTAATGTAAAGTAATTCACTCGACAATATATTGATCTATTTAACGACGTATTATAACAATACATCTTCAGCAATAGCTTAAGGAATGATCATTCCAGTTTGAATGTTTTGTTTGTTGGTGATAACGTATAGAAATTCCATTTTACTTAGCGTGTACGTCCTCGTACATCTATCAGGATTCTATCGGAATTTCCATAAGTCCGTAATCGACTTTTTTCCCGACAATTGATCTGTGACACTTAAAGTGCTATTTAATTGAAAGGACTTTCTATTCGACGAAAGAAAAATACGAAATTGGTGTCAAATGTTTAATTTGGTACGATACTCCAGGCTATGTAGCCAATTATCACACGTTACAACATATTTGGTCTTTCGTATTTTGAAACATGTTATGATTATGCATTATCTGCAATGACATGGCTTGACTGCATTGATATTATAGTAACCGAGTGGAAAGGCAGCACGCTGGAAATGACACGGATCTCAAGGCTTGATATGGGCAACTATCTGTGCATCGCCAACAACAGCGTGCCTCCCATGGTCAGTAAGCAGATCAAGGTGTCCGTTGACTGTGAGTACTCGTGCCATTCGTATCTTCTCTTACTGCGCACGTTTATCCGCCAACTGGAAAAAGCCCGAAAGCTCACTGCCACTTGAGCGCTCGAGCGGACAAAGTAAAGCCACTTGCGGCCTCTTGTAGGCTGACGACAATAGCTTTCAAGGCTTGAACGCCACTTTCTTTACAGTCCTTACGTTTTACACAGCAACATTCACCCATACCTGATTGACGATTATGACGCCCGAATCACTATGACTCGACTCGTATCTGTTATTCTTCAACTAAATTTCCTCGATTATTTGCAGCGTACATATTATTTAGTTTTCGTCAAATCTTTTTTATAACATACACAGAAACACCATATTCGACAACGTAATTGTCAAATGGTTATTTGAATATAATGTTATTTCGCGTATCATAATACTTTCTAAAACTATAATAATAAAACAAGTGACGAATTAACCAACTTTCCACAATAATAATTAAAAAATAAAAAAGAAATTAAAAAGAAAGCCGAGAGTCGCAGCAGGTAGTCAGCGATCAAGATAAAAACAAGGAAAAAAGAAAGTATGGATGTTTGCACGTGTAAGTGTAGCTACACAACTTAATAGCTCATAAAAGGCTTCGCGAGCTTTACGCGTCTGCGCGCATACACGCGAACAAGCATGCGGCTTTGGCTCATTGTCTACTTTAGCGCTGTTTACTCTCTCCTCTCTCTCTCCCTCTTTCTCTCTCTTTTTCCTCCTCCTCCTCCTCCTCCTCCTCTCTCTCTCTCTTTCTCTCTCTCTCTCTCTCTCTCTCTCTCTCTCTCTCTCTCTCTCTCTTCTTTTTCCATTTGTGGTCCAAGTGTCGCACTGGCAGTGTCTCAGTTTAACTTGTGCGCTCTATTCTTCTTCTTCACCTTCGCGTGCAGCCAGAACGCAACACTTGTACAGACACAGGGGTGCAGGCAGAATAGGGAGGCGCGCAAAAGTAGAAAAGCCGCGGAGACATAAAAGTAAGCTTGAGCCAAGTGTAACACGCCATTACCGCTTTCACTGCTGTTGTCGCTTCTCTCTCTCTCTCTCTCTCTTCCTCTCTCGCGCTCTCCCGCTATTTCTCGTTCCTTTTCCCGGGCTATTGTCACTTTAGTGACACTTGCACCAGCGTACGGGTCGTGACTTCGCATACCACGCGTTAGCTTTTTCAATTGGCTCACGTTTATCGCACTTACCGGCGGATCAAAGCACCGCACCACGTGGATTTTCTGTCGTTTAATCAACGATCTTTTTATTTTCAATTCATATAATTTTCGTTTTTAGGAGAACTGTTTCAAATTCCATTAATGTCATTTGCCAAAAGCATTTTCAAAGTAATCGTTTCATGCACAAAAAGAAGGTTTATACGAGGGTGGGTCTTATAGGAAAATTATTCACATGCATTAAACTACAATTTGCCAACATCAAGTAAATTTAAACAATTAACGAGCTTTTCGTCCCGCGTCTGCTCGTCGGGGTTATTAGCATGGGTAGCATATTAATTTAACGTTTACGACACTGATAATTCGCGGCGCCGATGTCCGTTTTGACCTCATAAGTCCGCTTACTTCGGCAGTTTGCGCCTGAATGCTGGCTCGCTTTTTCTTTATCCGTTTCGGACAAATTTTCCGCTTTCCTCAGCGCCCTCTCGTTGGGCACGCACTGCGTGCGAATGTTCGAATTTAAAAACGAAAGAACGGCTGTCATCAACAGAACAATGAAAACAAGTGCAATGATTTCGGAGTCATGTAATTTTTCAGATAATCTGGATTGGCAAACTGTGTCAGGCTGAATTGAATGGTTTTGCGTGGATGTTTACAGTAGTTACGCAGTATTCAATTAAACGATCACTTTGTTTTATTGTGCTCACATATTCATTAAAAGCGTTGCATTATTCAAGTCATATATATAATACGATGAATATATGAGGAAAAAAAGAGTTTTATCGGAAAAGTTGAAGGATTTTAAGAAACAAAAAGCCTAATGGAATAAAGCTGGTATTGGGTTATAAACGAGGCGCGGCATGAGAGGGAAGCGTGGAGTGTTTTAAAATCAATGACGGTCGGAGATTAATTAAAAGCGTCGACAGATTACAAGCGCTCGGGTGGCAGCAGCAGCTCTCTCTCTCTCTCTCTCTCTCTCTCTCGATGACATTACGGCTTTTCGAGGCGAAACGTAAAAAAAAGTGGATATGCCCTCAAGAGCTGACGCGCGTTAAACGACCGGCTGTACAGGCGATTAACGAGCCGCCGCGCCGGTCAGCTTCGCCTGCTGCACGCGCCTCGTCGCAAGCTCGTCTCTCGATTACGCGTTGCACATTTTTTGCTACTCTGCTTTCAGCGCGCGATAGTTCCACTCTGGCTACCGCTTTTCTCAGTTGAAAGATCGCCCGATAAAAGATTAATGCATATCGGTTGATTGATCAAAAACAATATTTTTTTTTATTTTTTTGTTGTAATTTGTTGATCAGCCAAAGTGGTTTTTCGTAGAAAAGTATCGAGAGGCACGAAGGCCTGTATGTACTTTGCAAACCATTGCAACTTCAGCGAACACGCTCGAAGTTGCGTGTGCGTAGCGCGAGCTGGCAAAATGTTTGACTGCGTGGCGTGCGCGCGGGATATACCGCCACGGGCGAACACGGAAAAAGAGCTGGGAAAATACAAAAGGCAAACATTCAAAATCAATATTCGCGGATATTGGCTTGCTCATAACGCGTAATTTTCATGCCGACCGCAAATCGACGAAGCGACGAAAAAAATGGCCGACGTCTCGTTCGCACGGTTCGCATGTGCACATACGCGCGGCAACGGTCATAGGTGAGATTCCGATGCCTAAACGCGATTACTGGCCAACATTGCCAACATTCAGCTGAGCCAGATGCACAGCGAGCGAACGCGTAATTATTCATTCCTCGAAAGATCGCCATACGCTGGCCGAAGACACATGGCTGACGTTCGAAAAGAAAGTAAAACTGAAGCGTAAGCCGTGGAGAGCACGAGGCGCGCAACGGTTAAATGAGAATGAAAATGAGAAAAAAAGCTAAGCCTCCGAAGGAGGAATAGCAAAGCGACGGAAAAGGAGAGGGAGCGAAGAGACAGGCTACTTTCCATCTTCATCTATTCGTCGTCTTAGGCTGCAATAAGAAATCCTTTTAATTTATTTCTCGTGGTGCATGAGCTGGAAACAGCAGACGCGCAGACAGAGAGAAAGAGAGGGGCCGGGGGAGGAGGGGGGAGGGGCGAAGGAGGCAAATATAAGAAAGGAGAAGAAGGCTCCGAGGAAAGCAGCAGAAGAAACGGAGGAGCTTCTAGGGATTCTAGGGTCACGTATAAGCACTGAGTCAAGCCGCCGCCCTCGGCTGCCTACTCTCGCTCTGCTACTTTTTTGCTCTCTTGTTGCCGCTCTCGGGCCTCCCCTCCCTGCAGAGCGGGCGCGAGCGGGCGCGAGCGCGCGCGCGCGCACAGTGGCAATCTGTTATTAAAATCAGTAACGAGAAAAATCCGTGCCGTATCTTGGAGCTGGTGCGGGCGGCGAGGCGCGGCGTACCGGCGAGCGCCGATAGACGCGACGTGTTACGGCAAAAATTAAGCCACCTGCTCGAGCTCATCCTCCTCGGCTAGCTCGTGAAATTACCAAAGTTTGCGATACTCTTCCACTTGCCGAAGCTATCCCTCGCGAGCGCTCGCGCCATTCCTTTTTTTTTAAACTCGGCTCTCTCACTTTTTGCCCGTTTCGCCACTCCGATGAGATGATCATGTTTTAAAAGTTTCGCATAATTTTCCTGCATTTCTTTCTCTCGGGCTCGCACTGCGCTCTTTTAATAACTTCATTAAATTATGCATTTCACACGTAGCCGCTGAATTCGCCATTGTTACGTGAGCGCCGCATAACAGCTCTCTGTATAATGCATGTTACGACAAACAAATTTGTAATTGAAGTCGATGTCCCGTGAATATCGACAACAGTCGAGAATGGCCGCGGAACAAGTGGCAAAGCGATGACGATACGTTGTTCGCTAATAAAAGCAAAAATCAGAGCAGTGCTGTTTGGTCGCAGGCTCGCTTGCCGTGCCATTCCGTTGTTCTCGGGCCGCGGACAGACGGGAAAAGCGGGAGAGTGAGAACAAGAGAGCGCGTCTCGCTAAACCGATTGTAATTTAATTGTTTAATACCGAGGAAATTGGAAGTTGCCTCGGACGCGTCGGAAATACCAAACGTGGACGACGATATTAGCTATAGTGGAGAGAGAGGAGCGGAGAGCCCAAGTAATTCGCGTTATTTTCCAATACCCGTTCCCCGAGATTTTTCCGAGTATTCGGCTTGTTCATCGAGTCGCTATATTTTTCAAAATCCCATTACATCGCCAGCGCTCGCGCCTACGCTCGTTAAAAGCACTTATATTTTTTGCCACCAAGTATTCACATGCTTGCGAGCCTCCTACCTTGTTCGCCACATCAATAAATTGAGCAACGAGCGCCGGCAATTACACATTTGAATTTATAAATATCAGTGAATTCAAGATAATGAAAAATGCTCCAGCGTGTGCCGGAATACTCGGGATTTCCGTATGCGCAAGGTATTCGGATTAACGAATGAATTATTTGGAGCTGAAACACGTAGATTATGCGTAGGTAGTACGGTGATTTTCAAGAGCGCGGCCGCCGCCGGCAAACTAAAATTGGTAAAATTGCCGAAAGCGACTCGGTAGGCTGCAGAGTGGTGGGCCAAAAATCAGAAGAAAATGAGATTAGGTAATGGAATTGTGCCGACAAAGGAGACGTGTCAATGGGCAGAGCTGTCCTTTCGGTCCTTTTATCGGCGTTTATTTAAATTTAAAGCTGCGAATCGATCGACCTTCCTTCCGTCTAGCCTCTAATTCGCGTCTGGCGTCGATCGGCAGCGCCGCCAGACTGGCAGGCACGTCGGCCTCCCCCCCAAAAAACTCATTAACGCGTCTCGCGCTTTCTTCTCCCGTCTCCTTTTCCTCGGCCTGGCA